CTCGCCAGCGCCCCCCGCATCGCCCTCCGGCCACAACGGCAGCAGCCACGCGCTACATCTGGGGCCGTGACCACAGCGATTAAGCGACGGCTACTGTCGATATTTGTGGGGAGGTGAAGGCACACTGCTGACTGCCCCGTGTGTCTTAGGACTGGGTCCTCCCTGCGCAGACAGGTACGCGACTGCAAGTGTACACAGTCTCCGAGATAAGTGTAAAAATAAAGTTCCGTACTCGCAGCCCGGGTTTGCGCGCAAGACTCGCCTTTTTTCCCCCTTTTTAGATCAGTGCGCTCAGTGATTGGCATTCACGCTGCTCTATTTGTAAAACACGCTGTCCGCAGCACCAGCGCCTCCCCAACCCCGGCCACGCCCTCCTAGGTGCGGTGGCCTGTTTCTCCTAGCGGAGCCGCGGCGAGACTTGCCATCTCGGACCCTTCCCAGGCCGCCGGCGCACACGCAGAGCGACCTCAACCACACAGTCTGGTTCGCCCGGGAACCAGATGAGCAGGGAGGAGGCGCAGTGGGAGCGCGCGGGAAAGGTCCGAGAGTTCAGGCCTTTCGCACACGGGCCCCGGCCGGCGTGTGAATGCCCCGGAGCACAGCAGGCGGCGGCTCCTAACCCTCCCCCGGAGCCAGCGCGCAGTCTCCAGCGCCTCTTTTCCGGCCCAGCTCGCCCTACTTACCCGATCCACTCCAAGTGCCTCTGGGGAGCTCACTCCCTGAGGAACAGCCCCGCCCAACGCCCGCGAATAATTTCAAAGCAAAGGCGGCGCGGCCAGGTGGGCTCCCTAGCTCCTCGCAGACTCTCGGGCCAGCCTTGTGCGCCAGCCAGGCCTCGTCTCCACCCGACCTCGGGGCAGAGGTGGGGGAAGCGCGGGGAGAGGCGAGGCGCTCAGGCCATAGGGAAGGAGCGGCGCAGGAGCGAGAGCGACCCTCTTGTCCTGCGAGGCCCGGGTGGGGACGCCCCGACGCGCGGGCTGTACCAGTGGCGGCCCGGCCGGCGGCCTGCGGCTGTGCGGCTGGCTCTCCCTGGTCGAGGCTATGCGCACTCCCATCCCCGCCGCATGTTCTCCGCGCGGGCTCCAGCGCGCTCAGCGCCGCCACCGTCGTCGTCTCGGCTTTATTTACCCAGACGGGCGCGCGCGGCCCCGGAACAGGAATACCGAGGCCTTCTCACGTTTCCTGACTGCCTGGCCCAGCCGGCGAACATCCCGCGATCGCAGTATCCACGTTCCCGGGACAGCGGAGACGAAAGCTCGGCGCGCGCCCGGCCGCCGGGGCTGCAGTTAACCCCTCGCAGAGAAGCTGTGGCTGCAGACGCTGCAGGAGTGCCCCCGGCCCACGCAATCCTACCCACTCGCACGCGGCTTCCAGATCTCCCCGCCTCGCAGTTGCGGAGCCAACAGGGTTATTTCCTTCGCATTTAGCGGAGAAATTGGAGAAGTTGCCGGGAGCGCCCGGCTCTGGCTCCAGGAGCTGAGAGGCTGCGATGCAAATCCGCTGTCCCAGCTGACTGGAGTGCCGGAGATTTCACCACGCGTGGCTAGGCGGGAGAAGCCACTGTGACGCGCCCCACATTTCCTTACGATTAGGTAGAGTGAAGTTAGAGCTCGGATTTACGCCTGCATCGCATGAGGGTATTGACTGATACGCTTGCGTCCCGGGAGCCTCTTTTCTGGTGTCGCTGGGCTTCTGAGGTCCTGGATGTCTTAGTCAAGGCCAGGCCCACGCTCACCTCCCGGGGTTAGCGCTGGAGAGGCTGTGCTCGCCGCAGGGCAGGGGTGGGGAGTGGGAGCAGCACCCGGCGAGGCGAGCCTAGGTGCCCAACCTGCGTGGCCCGGATGTGGAGGAGACCGCGCGGGCTCAGAGCCGGGGATCTGCACGGAGCAAAGGGGATGGAAGAATCCCGAACTGGGACCCAGTGCAAGGAAAGACAATGGTTAT